GATATTTTTTACTGATTATTATCCGAGATGTAACAAATTTTTCGACTATCTTAAATATATCAGCTTATTTTTACTTCCTTTTAATCTTATAGCAGCTACCAAACTATTGGCCAGCTATCGATTAGATGATTGCTTGATGATATTTGATTTATATTTTTGATTTTGACCAGTATATTATAGTAAGGTCGCTGGACTAAGAAAAGAATCTTTACTATAGCTTATACTGTTATATCGAGAGAATTCTATCTAGTAATACCGCAATTCAAATTCTTCTCTATACCAAATTATTTATAAATATTATAGAGACAATATATTAGCCGAAATAAAATAATAGACATGCTATATGTAAAATGACTATAAAGAATTGCTATAGATTGTTAATATTTGACAAAAAAAATAAGACATCATATGACTAACATATTATTGAAAACAAATACATATCTCAGCATTGATAAGTAAGGCAACAATAGAAAAGTCAAGTTCAGGTTATTGACAAGACCATTTATCTATATAAAACTGGTGATAGACTTTACTGATGATAACGTTTCCTCAATTCTATTTATTTGATACTAAGAAACAAAAATCATTAAAGATATAAAGTCTCAGACAAAGGAAAGCAACTTTGTAAAAATAAATTAAAAGTATAAATAATATGCCAATCTGTGCTTAGAATAACAAAAAACGGTGCAGTATAATTATTATACTGTCTTATATATTATATAAACTTCATTCATTATACCTAAAGTTTGTTATAAGAGAATGTGAGAATGTATGATCTATTAGTTTGACCCTCTTGTAAATTCCAAAGATTTGAAACATTATCATTAGAAATGTTAAAAGTTCGGTTCAGTCTAGTCCCGGTCCAGTTTCTAAAAAGTTTGGTCCTGAACTAGTTAGGAACTAGTCTGTATCCCCTGCATGAAACTGGTCCAATCTATGTCCAACCCTAGCAGTTTATATAGGCAATTTATAATACTCAAACTGCAAATCTCTTTTTTTTTTATTTAAAATTTATTATAAAAAAAAGACGCATATACAATATAGACTATAACTTTTATTATAAAATTTGCACTTTGTAATAGTTTTACAAATATTTAATAAAGATCTAAGGCAAGACCTCATATTTTTTTTAAAAAAAAATGGTTGCATTACTTATTCAGTTTCTTATCACATTTATTCTTATGATTGATAATATATTTAGATTCAATATATACTGGCATTCCACAAACAACTATGTTTGAAGTCACAGACATCTTATTTATATGTTTTGATAATCCAAGATTTATGATCTTTAAGAAAACTCAAAAGTTTTGGTTACTAACCCTGAATCACACCATGTTTTTAAACAGAGACTCGTGCATACTTTTTCATCATCTAAGTGATTTCACATTGGGCTTAATGTATACTTGGCAACTGAAAAGGCCTATTTACTAAGTACACTTGTTGTCTGTGCGATAAAGTAATCACGAGCCATGTTAATAAGAGGTAACTATTGTAAATTTAAAGTTTTTGATTTCTAAAATGCGAGAGTGTCAACATTTTTATCAGGCATATTCAAATATTTTTTTAAAATATTCTGACTAAATGACATCTCATTGTAGATCTGTTTTAGCTGAGTTCAAAAGTAATTGCGAGCCAAGATTAATTGATTAGATTCTAGGATTTGTTCACTTGTATTCTCAGCAACCGGGGCATAGTTTTGATAGGTTCTATTAATTATTTGACACACATTGACTCGTTCAAGACCAAAACTAAAGGTAGACAATTTAGATGTCAGATCAAGCAATACTGCTTCTGGAAAGGCAGACTGTAATTCATCTCAATATTTATCAAGCTTTCCAAGGATTTTTTCTTCAATACATGATTTCATTGTATTTGTTTCATCCTTAGTATTGGTTAAATAGTTGATAATTACAAAAAAAACTGTGCGCACATCTCCAATAGTCAGGTGGCTTAACGAAGAAAACAATTTGGTAGCTTCGTAAATGGGTTCTATCAGCATCATCACAGTTTTAATATTGTCCCAATCTTGATTATTTATATATAATCATTTAAGTTGTGACATTGAAACTACTAATATATCAACCATTTCTTGAATTTTACACAATTTGTTTAACATCAAATAGAGCGAATCCATCGTGTCTCACAGTCAAGATCGGGTACTAGAAATGGTTTGCTTTTCATTGCAAAGATTTTTTTTAATTCTTCTATACACAGCTGAGAACGACAAATATGACTTGCAAATTCACGCACCTTTTTAATTGATTCATTAATTTCAGTAAAACCACTTACAACAGCAAGATTAAGCTTATGAGCAATACACCACAACCGACGAAAAGCCGTATTTCTATAATGGAATTCTAACATTTTAGTAAGGTGCTAACCGCAAGCATCCATATTACTAGCATTGTCAGTAGTTAGTGATAATAGTTTGCTTTCTAACCCAAAGTCTTCAATTATTTTGAAAATCGTATTGGCCAAAAAACCACCGTATGTCTTTCATGAAGGAGAATGAAGTCAAGAAGTATACGTCGTAACTACTACTCGTTATCAATTCAGTGCAAAGTAATAGAAAGGAATGCTTGGTTGGTAGGTTCAGACCATGTATTGGTCATCATTGAAACTTTATGTTTGAAATTTCTTAAAAAAAAATACATAATTGTTCACGTTCACGTTCATATATATGCCAAATATAAACTGAAATCATTTGTCTTGAAGGGAGAATCGAGTTCAAAGATAAATATCTGAAAATCCTTATTTTCAACAACACAAAATGCCTGTTGATTATACATGATCCATCAAACCAGGAGCTCGTTTAAACTTTTTACTTTTTTTTCGTCACAAGAACCATAATATTCAACCTGGATAGCGACAAATTTTGATATTTTTGATATACTAATTTATGATTACTTTCGAAATGCTGTTTAATTGTACTAATACTACTTCTATTTCATACTTAGAATTACACAATTTACAAGTAATTTGTTTATCTGCAGATTGAAAAAAATAACTCCAAAGTGGATGCTTGTTTTTATGCTATTTAGCAAAAATACGATCATCCAGCTTTTCTGTACTAGTTTCATTACTGCCACTATCATTCAAAAAATCTCTATCTGGAAAGAAAAGCACATCATAAGTAGATAGAGGATTTTGTAAAGGTTCAAGATTTTTAGTAGACATAGACAGTTCAAGATTTTCAGTAGACATAGAGGGTTCAAGATTTTTGTAGACATGGTATGACTAACAGAAACTTGTGAAGGTAAGCTTTCGTTAGATACTTTTATACTTATGTGCGAACAAACGCACCAAAATCTCAACAAAAAATACATTGTTGACAAAAAAAACATTTGTAAACAAAAAGAAATTTGCAAACAAAAGGACGAGAAAAAATATTGAATAGATTTGAGGTAATTGTACTAAAAGTTTTTTTACAGATTAAGCTTAATACAAAAAAAAAAATTGTCACTAAATTAAATAAAGTTTAGACTTGTGATGATATAGTTTGATATAATTATGCTATTATTATTTATGTTCGCCCACTTCTAAATTTCGAATAGCTTTATTTTTATTTTTTTTTTAGATTAAAACGTTAGTTTGTGCATTAATTTTCATGATAATAATGATATACAGCATTATTTATTTAATTTTTTTTATAATAAAGAAATATTTTTGTTTATTCCTTCACTCTAATTTTTGTCACTGTTATAAATTGAAGGATGAACAATTATGATTAAAAAGAGTTTCGTCTAATATCTTTGTAGGTTGGTGTAGTTACG